ACGAGCAAGCAAACCCATCCGGTCAGACAGTACAACGGCAGAGTGTCCGGGCGTGGAGTACACGCAGCTTAGGATGGCCAGGGAGGGGCCCTCAGGAGGTGACACTGGAGCCAAGACCAGGAGAAAGTGGGGAGTGCGCCAGCACCACAGGTCTTGTGGAGACCATGTCTGATTCACAGAGGAGTGCAGGGAGGCCAGAGGGGCTACAGCACAAGAGTAGGGACATGCCAAGTGGCAGCAAATACAGCCCAAGAGGAGCAGGGCCAGATCTGGTGGGCCCACCTGAAGGGCCCCAGGGTTTACTCTGAGGGTGACAGGTAGTCACTGGGCATCTGAGAGCAGCCTCTGAAAAGAGGGGTGTGAGATCATCCTTCTATAGTGAAGACCTGGGTTTGAGGACGAGCTATGGTCATGATGAGCCAAGATGAAGAAGGTAGGTATGTTCATACTATTTGTAGTAGGGTTCCAACAGGTTTGGAAAGAAATTTCAAAACGCTTTCAATATCTGTCATGTTTTGGCTGCCCCTGTTCAAATCCTGATCTTGCTTCTGGAGATAATGGAATGTAGCCTGGGACAGTAGAAAATCCCTCCAATGGAGGCCCAGCGGCCCAGATCCTACTTCTCTCTGCTCTAGCACAGCTGGGCAGGCATCCAAGTGAGGTCAGGTCCACAGGATGTGATTTCTCAGCACCGGGCATCCTGAATGGGTGGCCTTGGGGCATGAAGACTTCGAGGGCTTGCAGGCAATGCAGAGGTAGTGATGTGCGGACCTGATGATCCCTGTGCTTATACCGTGATCCCCATCACAGGGCCACACTCTGCCCATCAGTGTGGGCTATCTGATTCCAGGGCTCTTACATTCCGGCTTGTGTTCTAAGCCTTGCTCTCTAGCCATCTACTGATTCTGGGAACCTTACAATAAATGTCCTTTCCTTTTAGGATAGCCAGAGTCAACTTCTATTGTATGTTTCCCAAGTCATGAAGGACACAATAACATAACTAGTAGCTTTGTTTTCCTCTTTCTCAAAAACAGATGAAGCCAAATGGGAGTTTACCTGTTGTATTTTTTTGCAAGTAAGATCCATTTGTTCAATCTCAAATTTATTGGTTTAGTGGCCTACTATGTGCCAGATGCTGTCCCAGGTGCTGAACAAACAGTGGTGCACCAGACAGATTCCCGATCTTAAAAAAGCTTACATCTTAGAGGCAGAGAGGGAAGGAAAGGGGCAATAAACAAGCACACGGACAAGACAGAACACGTGTCATGGAGAGAATTTAATAAAGGCAGGGGAATAGCTTGTGAGATAACCACAAGATGTCTACTTTAGATTGAGTGGCTGGGGAGGGCCTGTTGGATAAAAGTGAGGCCCATGTCTGAATGCTAACAAGGCAGCCCCACGAAGATCAGGGAGAACACCCAGTGAGTGAGACACCAGCCATGTGAAGGCCCTACGGTGAAGCCAGGCTCAGCACGTTCGAGGAAGAGGTAGGAGGCCACTATAGGAACACAAGGGGAGGGAGGTGAGGGGAGTGGAAGGGGGTTGGACAGGCAGATCACACAGACGCAGTACAGGTTTACATCTTACTCTGTGGATGATGCAAAGACGCTGGAGGGTTCTGAGCAGAAGGTGACGTAATTCAATTTGCATTTTAAGAGATGCTTTTTAAGCTTGGCAGAGAACAGATTACAGGGGCATGACCAAAGCAGGGTGCCCAGCAGGAGGCTACTGGTGTCCTCCAAGTGCCATATGATGGTGGCTCGGACGGAACAAGGGGAGCGTAGGGGGTGGGGGAGGGGAATTTGGTGTAAGCATCCAAAACGAGTGAAAAAGATATGGGGAGAAAGGGAAATCAATCTTTCCGGTTTTCTGACTGGAGTGCAGGAGAAGGTGGCACTGGGAAGACAAGAGGCTGTGGGGTGTGCTCAGGCTGTGTTAAGTGTGAGTCTTTTACATACAGAAGTGAAGCAGTCAAGAATGTGCCTGGATATGCTGTCCAATGCTTCTTAATGATCACTATCACACAGATGGCATTCAGAGCCAGGGCCTGCGTGAGATCACCTTGGGAGACCAGTTAGAATAGAAAGGAGCAGAGAGTGTCTGCAAGACCCTGGGTGGGGTCCAGCAGAGTGCGTGAGGTAGCAGAAATGCAGGAGGAAGGTGGTGCTCAGCTGCAGCCAACCACTTTTGGACGTCTACCCACCACGGCTCATCCCAGCCTTCTTCCACTGAAGTCTGAAGGGGTCTTCTGGGCAAGCCTGTCCTCACAGGAATCAAGGCATCCAGGAACAATCAGGTGTCCTCCCAGGATGTGGTCATGTCCACGTGGGACACCCGGAGCAAGGCCAGCCACTCCTCATGACCATGATGGAAGCCTGCAAGGGCAGAGTCTTCCAACTAGAGATGGCACAGCACAAAGACATCATTCGGCTGCTGAACTTAGCAATCCCCACACTGCCTTACTTTGCGACTTCCTATGATTATTACTTGGCACTTTCTTAGTGTTTCAGCTCCCTGAAATAGGGTTTCCTATTATTAGTACCAAGAATGTCTGTGACTGTAGACAGACAAAGGAAAGTGATCTGAACACACCTTCCGGGGAGTGGGAAACAAACATTTGAGGGAAGCATGGTGGGACTGCTAGGCAAAGCATATTATGCATCCAAGATGTGTGCTCACGAGACCAGTTAGCATCGTCATCTGCTCCTTCCTGGCAAGTGGTGGCTGTCTGGGTGCAGGCTCAGAGAAGGCAGATAAGCTGGATGAGTAGGCAAAGAGAGACGCAGATAAGGAACAGCAAGAGGTGACAGCGACTGAGCAACACTGTGTAATGATATCACACTGAGTGGATCTGAGCACTTCCTGTCTGAGAACTAACTCATGGCAGCCTACTGACCCCCCTGGGAGGTAAGGTTACTTGTAAGGAAGTCATTGTGACAAAGGACCATGAGACTGAAGCTGGGTGACAGAGCAGACATGTATTGAGCTGGAGAGTGTCCACGGACTTGATGATTCAGTGAGGTCCAAGAAGGATGGACAGACTGAAACGCAGGAAATCTCAATTTGGAATGCAGCGGGTGGTGATGGCGTGCAAATCACAGGCACAACCCTGGTGGTGCGGGATGGGAAGGAGGGCAAGTCGCACGTGGGTGCAATCACAGACTCAGAACTCACACGTGTGCTGGGGACGGAAGGGGATAATGTACCAAGACGCTGATTATCACAGCTCCTGGAACAGGCTGTGTGTTTTAAAACCTGTGCAATACCTAACATTGGGATATTGGAAATCTACCATTCTAAATGGGAAAAATAGTAATACTTTCTTGGTCCATCCAAAAGCTCCAACTAATGTCCCCCAATACCAATAAAATAGCTGGGAAAAAACCTCTTTAAAACTGCCAGGAAACAGTTCACCATGATTTCTGCATAATATTTAGCATTTCTAAATACCAATTACCTAATTATTTAACACATAAGGAATTCACTGGGGGAGTATGTTTGGTTGCAGAAAACAGATCTATCAGGTATGAATTATATTTCCTCCTTCATGACATTAAACATATAGGGAAAATAAACAAAGAATTTTAAAACTGTTAGTAAAGAGTCAACGAAAAGTCCGGTGGTGAGCGGAGGGAGAGCAGCGAGCCACTGCCACCACCCAATGAAGGGTGGAGGTCAGCGACCGAGCGCTGGTAAAGGAGTGGGAACCGCAAGCACCCAGGGCTCATGCACATCCAAATCTAGTGCGCTCTCGGCACTCAGATTCTGGAAGCAGGTAGCTATGAACCACTGTCAGATGCCACAGACAAAAGTAACAGGATGCAAACGCTCACAATGGATATCTGTCTTATTGCTTTTGCTTGTGATCTACCAGTAACATAAAAATGAGTTTGTAACTGCAGTTTTTACATGGTTGATTCTTTTCCTTTATTTACTAATTTTCAAAATAACAAGGTGGTTCCCTAAC